GACTGCATTAGTTGTATCTAAGTGTATGTAATGAACTGGAAACAGCACACATGGGTGACTGCAGGCAACACTTAATGGAGTTGTAAATGTACAAACATTACTGTGTATGACAAATCCTGCAAAGGTATTCTGCGTTTTTAAATGAATAAATACCACTGCTGATGCACAATACAGTGTGCTGCAGTCACGTCTGTGTGTCCTATATGAGCACTTTACTCTTTATTAAAAGGAGATGGTTGATCTAGTGGTTCGAGCTCAGAGTCCCTAACAAACTGCAAATGAGAGTAAACAGCAGTCCAGATGTGCAGACTGCTGCCAGCACAGATACAGACACACAGTGAACACAGACACAAACAGAGTGAACTCACCTGATCTTGTTTCCAGTCTTCATTCTGATCCACTGAGGAATGGGCCTGTTCTGTTTCTGCTTCTTGGCGAGGAAGCGCTTGATCCTGAAAGTCTTGTGGGACGACTATAAACAACAACAACAAACCCACAATTAATAACCTGTCAATAAAACTCTAAATGTGTGTGTAGTTTACAGTTTTTAACAGAGTAATGGTGAGTAAGACAGCAGCTACCGCCTGTGAAGGAAGTTGCAGGCTAACATGTGTAGCATCAGAGAGCGGGTACCGGGTAAAGCCTTTAAATGTTCATATTCATTAATTTTAGACGACATACAGATTTGTGAGGCACCACTGACATATTTATTAATCACTTCATGTATCAAAGTGGGTTTACGGGCGCTACAAACGTGGATGTTTAAAGATTTTGTATTTACCATTTTGTCCACAGTCCTTTCCCGACTATGGCGGTGGTCGAAGAGAGAGAAGGAAGTGACGTCGCTGCTTTATCCAATCAGCGTGCAGCAAACAGCATGACGTATGTGCTTTCTGAGGCTTCGTAAGGAAAATATAATAAAATATAATAAAATATATTAAAATATAATAAGATATATTAAAATATACCACTATATAATAAAATATATTAAATATAATAAAATATATTAAAATATATTAAAATATACCACTATATAATAAAATATATTAAA